ACCTTTAAACGTTTGATCCCGCCCACATTTAGCCCCGCCCCGATCTCTGGGAGGCAGCCAGGAGGTACTCAACCAGGTAGGTAGGTTTAAACTGTTGCAAATCTGCAACGCCTGCCTCCAGAGGGTTAATGGCTGGAATCACCATGCTAGGTGATATTTCCCCTGCTGCTTGGCCAGGGAAAACATTGCTTGTGATGTGGATGAGGTGCTGTGGCCAGATTGCAACAAAAGAGAGGATGCAGCATAGTTTCATTTTTTACTGTAACTGTATACAGTGAATTATTCTGTTGTATGTAGTGTTTATGTGCAACTTTGTGTTGGTTGGGAATGGGATGTACATTGTGTATAATGTTTTGTGAGAATAATAATCTAATTATTTCTGTGTATTTGTGTGTTCAGAGTGTAAAAACAATGTTCTCAAATATTTTACAACACATGTATGTACACACTGTCTGTAGTAAGTGTAACACTTAACCAAAAAGGCTTAAGTCAAGAATGGAATGGGGAAGAAGTGTTTTCCATTCATCATAATGTTTTACATTGAGCACATAAGTGTTCGGCTGGTTCTTATGAATGTCTATTCATATGATGATTTGTGTGTGTCATTTGAAAACAAAGTCCCATTTTGATGAGAAATAACATTGTTTTGAATGTGAAGTTTCTTTTTGCAGGTTAATTGAGGGGGTTTGCCCATTGTGTGGTATAGTTTATTTATTTATTTTGGATTTGTGTGTAGAGTTCTGAGAATATGAGGCATGCTTTCAGAAATGTGTGTAAACAATTCATAAAAGATTGTAATTCAGTAACAGGAGTGACTCACATGTTATTTCTTGTACCCACACTGTCTTTTTTCAAGTAAAGGAGGCTAGAAGCTAATGTTGAATGCTAATGGTAAACTAGCAAATACATAAAAAATATCAAGATCCTTTTTTCAGTTGCCAACAACTCAACATCAACTTACTGTGTAAGACTGGTTTTCACTCGTCGCCTAAAATCTCCTGCCGCTGATCCATAACTGGCAACAACCATGAAATTCAGTGAGAGAGTCACTAGTTCATTTTGAAAATGGGCTGCAGTAACCATAGGATGTCATGCTTACTTCATTCTTACATAATGTACTTTTAAACTAGTTCCTGTTTAAGTTTTTATTTTGAACCACTTCATGTTCACCTCTTGTAACCAATTCCTAGCCAGGCTTCACCTTTAACTAGTCTCTTTTCAGCTTTACCTTTAAACGAGTCCCTGGTGAGTTATGGTTAACTGTACAAAATTCCCGTGTGCTTTTCTCCAGATGAAGATATTACAATTTCTGATTGATCTCTTCATCATATCAATTTGAAGAGGACTGGAAGATTCTGGATTCAACATTGTGTTTTGAAGACACAAAAATCTTCAGAAATTAAATAGTGTAAGAACTTGAATGGTTGTGAGATTCTGAATCCTTTGGGACACATGATTTTAGTTTTTATCACACCAGTCCAGGTGTTTGGGCAGCTGTTTCTCTTACGTTAACTGTTATTTGTTTTTTGACTAACCAACTAAATGTCTGATGAGGCATTTGCATGTAAGACCCAAACACAACTCTTTGTTCTGAGGATCTTCAGATTCAGAAAACTTTATTGGTGGTCCCAAAGGGAACTTAATTTGTTTAATCATTCTCACAACACAAGCTCTGGTTGCTGACCTTGGTGAACGTGATTTGGTGTTAAAAGGAGCAGTGACAACATGTCTTTAGGTTCTGTTTGGTCAGAATGAGTTGTAATTCTGCTCTGGTGTTCCTTCTGATCCAGTTCTTTTGCAGAAGAGGAATTCTGAGGAGCATTTTCCTTTGATTAAAGCCTCCAGACCTGCTCTGATCCTGGATCAGATGTTCAGAGAGCATCTTTTTGATTCAAGGTGACATCAGCACTGATCTCAGGTCAACTTTTATCCACTGACATTTAACCTCTGAGTCAGAACAGAGCAGACTCACAACCATGCAGCTGTTTCAGCCATCTTTAACAGAACCCAACCCTTCAGGTCTTTAACCCTAACCTTTCAACATTTGAGTTAAAAATCCTTTAGGCCTTTATTAGACCAGAGATTTTTAGACCTAAAGAGCTATCAGCCCAGATCAAAAGGCAGGGTATTCGTGCTGGGTTTTGTCCTGATCAACCTGTTTCAACAAATTTAAAGAGCAAGTCACCCCCTACCAGAGTATTGCTTCACTCCCACTTCCTGTTTGAAAAATGCAACAAATGCTGTTGCTTAGCAGACCGAGAGGGCGGAGCCGCTAGCAAATACACACACAAACACACACACACACACACACACACACACACACACACACACACACACACACACACAGGCTCATTGTGACATATGGTACCAGCTAACGTCCTAGGGTACCTCTTAGCCAATAGCAATGGCAGATTTAAATTCAAATGCAGTGCAGAGATTTTACATGTCAACGACACAACACTGACAGTTTTAGGCAGAAAATTTAAATTTTAACTAAAATGCACTAAAGTGCAAAACCATTGACTACATGTGTCTGCACCACGATTAGACACACGTTTATATTTGATTAGAAAAAATAAGTTGATTTGAAGGTGACTTGCTCTTTAAGAATGTACACAATTACCGTAATAGCTCTAAAGATAGTCTTATGCCGTGTGTGGTGTGTTTAGTGCTCTGCAGCATGCATGTTGAGGGCTGCTCGTGTGATTGATTGGGGTTTTTCAAACTTGATGGATTGTCTCGTCATCTCAATGCAGGACAGTTGTCAGGCATAACAGTCTAATGAATTTCAAACTCAACAGCTCATCTGGAAAAGCTTAAGGACAACCAACACCCAAACACGCAGCATTGCATTTGCAGCTCAGTGCAGCAGACATTCTGACTTCTGTAATGGTGAAACAAAACAGCAGCCACACATAGAGCAGCAGCAGAGCCAGATCAGCAGGTCAAAACTCAGCAGAGGTAAAAGGGGAAAGATTCAAAATAGGAAAATAAAAAATGTAAAAAAATAAATAAGAAATAAGCCAAAACTCAAGATAAGGGACACCCTTTAGAGGACAGCAGTGTTCATATTTTGAACAAGAATAAAAAGTAAGAGAATCCATTTAAATGAAACATTAAAAACTATGATGTAGATTTCATCTTTCTGATATCTAGTTCTGCCTTGACTCTTCAGAGGATGGTGCAATAATTGGAGGCCTAATCAGACCAGTCACATGTTCATGAAGAAGAATCCATTTAGTGATAAAAACCCCAAACAACTTTTATTTCATATTACCAACACAAGTGTGTATTTTAACAAGTCCCGAATTCACATATTCATAAGTGATGAAGCTTAGATGGAAGCAACAGGGATGAAATCCAGTTGACTTATTGAACTTTTTTTTAGGAACATTTAAATAATTTAAGTTTAAATTATACATTTAAACTTCATTTTGAGCAGTTAAAAACTAAAGTTTAAGCTTAAAATTCATGTTTAAAGTTCACGTTTATATGGGAGGTTTAACTGCTGAAATACTATTTTGTTTTTCACCTTGATTCTGTTTTATGGATCAGACAGAGAGATCCTCTCTAATTGGTGCGCAGTTAAAAACTAAAGTTTAAGCTTAAAATTCATGTTTAAAGTTCACGTTTATATGGGAGGTTTAACTGCTGAAATACTATTTTGTTTTTCACCTTGATTCTGTTTTATGGATCAGACAGAGAGATCCTCTCTAATTGGTGCGCACGTGAGGCGCGTGTGTCCTGCAGCCAATCAGTGTGCAGCTGCCGCTGCTGCAGCAGTTGACAGCTTAGGCTTCATCCTCTGCGGTGACAAAAGAAATCTAATTAAAACTTACTGGAGCTCATTATGAGGCTGCAGGTGCACGCGGCCCGCCAGCGGGTAATCCCGCTAAATTAGTGCACGCCCCCGCGCACAACAACAATACAGGGCGGCAGCATCGGGGGCGCGCGCCCCAAAATAACAAGATGATAATAAGGACTTGTGAATGTTTGTGTGTTTTGTTGTGCGTGGGCTCGGAGCGTGAGGGCTGCATCAGCATTACAACCTATATGGAAAACAAAAACATGAAGAGACAAAAGCAAAAAGTCGCTTTAGATTATTTCAGAGAACATAAAGTCTTTAGTTAAATTATTTTTTTAAAAACTGAAAACAACGTCTTTTAAATCAAAATTTTATAATAAAGTTTCAATTAATTTTGAGCAAAAAAATTAACAATTATATTGATGCTGTCAAGTTTAAGAGGCAGGATTGTTTCCTCCTCTTGTCTTTTCTCCGACAGTCCATCCTCCGCACGTGCAGAGATAGGCCGCGGATGCGAGACGTGCGTGTGTGCGTGTTTGTTTGTGTGTGTGTGTGTGCGTGTGTGGGCGCGCGCGCGCGTGTGTGTCACTTATGGAGAAATTAATACATTTCAAAAAGAATCATTCTAGAAGTGAATTAAAACGATGAATCCAGAAAATCTGCATAATTTGAGTCTTTTACAGTTTTTGATTGTTTTAATCTAAACCGGTCAAAGAAAATATAAACTTTAAAACCTGGAGAAAAAGTTTATTTTACAAAGCAAATAATTTTCTTTTTAAATACTTTTAGAACCATACAGCTTTCAATATGCAGCAAAAAACTTTGTTTTTTCTTTCTTTATGATTTAAACGTTTTAGAAAAACGTTTCTTTTATCAAATAAATAATTAAAAACAAACATTTAATATCAAGAAGGCATGTCTGGAAATTCCTGAAGAATTAAATAAATGAGAATAGATGTTTTGTGTATAAAAGGTCAGTTGTGAAAATTAATACTTAATTCAAATTTATTTCGGAGAATTGTTTGTTTAGTTAATTATTTTAATCCCTTTATCTTCACCGTTCATTAACACTTAACTAGTTTTTGTTCCCACCTGCTGCTCCGAAGCGACCGTTGACTTATAAATATTAATTGTCATATGGGTCTCGTGCACGCGCACGCGCGACACATTGCTGTGTAAGGATTCACAAACAAACACGTTGTTATACAAACGTTATAACTTTATTCATTTAGTAGAAAAACAAAGCTGCAGTAAATAGAATAAAAATCTCTTTATATACAAAATACAGATTTAATGAGACGGCACAAAATAAATTAAAACAAAGAAAACTGAAATGTATCTGTGTGTGTGTGTGTGTGTGTGTGTGTGTGTGTGTGTGTGTGTGTGTGTGTGTGTGTGTGTGTGTGTGTGTGTGTGTGTGTGTGTGTGTGTGTGTGTGTGTGTGTGTGTGTGTGTGTGTGTGTGTGTGTGTTGGGGCAGAATGATGAATGACAGCAGTTCTTTTCAGTCTTTTGTCGGAGCGGAGAAACTTAATTTTCACGCTCAGTGTTCTGCTTCATCTCTACAAATTATAAAATTAACTTTTCACCTCCATCAGGAGGAGAAGTGGAGAGGGAGACAAGTTCAGTAACCTGAATGAAACTTGCAGAACTGGATCATTCATAACTAAATCAGAACCAGTATTTCAGCTGGTTCCGAGGGAACAAGAATTCTTAAGGCAGACTGTGGTTCATCTGGTTCTGACCCAAACTGTGCGGGGGTTCATGTCCATAGTTCTTCTGCTGCTGAGTTCTCAGTAGACGAAGCTGCGGAAGCGCATAAGTGCGTCCTGCGGCAGGTACCCGTAGTCCTCGGCTCCGGTGGGGCTTCCCGGGCTGGAGGCGCAGTAAGCCGGAGAGGAGGATGACGATGAGCCGCTGGAGCTCCAGGAACATGAGTCGCTACCAGGACTAGGGGCCGAACCGAGGAAGGTTGTGCTGAGGAGCCGGGGTGCGTCTCCAGACTTTCCCGCCTGCAGGTCTGCGATGCGGATGGTCTCGGACAGGGCCCAGATGTAGTTGTGCGCAAAGCGCAGAGTCTCGATCTTAGTGAGTTTGGTTTCGTCCGGGAAGGCCGGCAGGACACCGCGAAGCGCGTCCAGCGCGTCATTCAGGTTGTGCATGCGGTTCCGTTCCCGGTCGTTGGCCTTCAGCCGCCGGTTCTTCTTCACCACCTGCACCGTGGCCTCGCTGCGCACGCGTCCGCGGCGCCGCTTTTTCTGCTGCTGCTGCGCAGGTTCCGGTGACGCGCAGCGCACGCTGTCTTCATCGTCAGTGTGCGTGAACCGGTCGCAGCTGCTGCTCTCCATGTCCGAGTAGATAGAGTCCATACTGGAGAGAAGGACTTGGTTCGGTTCTGTGGAGAGAATAATGTGGGTGAATGCCTGCAGTAAGCGTGTGCACTTGGCAGTGCAGGAGAGGAGAGCGCGTGGACCCACCTGAAATGTGAGAAGTTCTGATCTAGACCAAAGTGGGCTGCAGGTGGGAGCAGGACTGGCGGCACGCGCCTCTATGCGTTTCTTTGCTCTGGATCAGCTCGTGTGAGCCGGTCAGCCTGGCACACGACCGGCCTCAGCTCGCTTATATGTGGACTACAAAGACCGGCCCCCGGTCCGCGCCCCCCCACAGGGGGCGGCAGGTCTGCCCCGTGCCGCGGGAACGGCTCATTAACATAATGACGCCAGCGGTGTCTGTTCACTGCGTTCGGAGAAGCGTGCCGGTAATCACGGCCAGCCAATCAGGGGACGCAACGAGCCACGCGAGCAACACGCAGGAACCCACTCCTCCTCCATCCTCCCCTGTGTGGGACAGAAAAGACCAAACCCTCACCCCAAAAAGAAGAAAGAATCACACACACACACACACACACACACACACACACACACACACACACACACACACACACACACACACACTCAACAAGTCAATCTTCATCCTGAGGATGAGGAGCTGAGGCCAGCTTCAGTTCCATCCAATAACAGGATCGCATGTTTATAATGATGTTAACTTGATGGTAGTATTTTCCTCTTTAAATGACAAAACATCAATTGAATATTTTTGGAGGCAATTTGAGTAAATAGGTCAAAGGTCATGGCTGCAAACCTCAGGAGCTTCAGATATCTTCACCAAAGCTGCCTGTTAAGTCACAAACACACCAGACTGACTCATGTCTGATCAGACTAGCGTGCTCCTTCGCCAGAATCCATGTTATAAAATGAAGCATCATCCGAAACCTGAGCAAATCCACTTTTAGAGACCAGAATGAGGGGAACACTCTGCTTCTATCAGAACACACTCGTTTTTTCAATTCCTCATCAGTTTTTTAAACGAAATAATAAAAATAAGTCTAGGGTTTGTGGTGAAAACGTGTGCAAGCGTAGCACTGACTCATAAAAAGATATCTAGAACTGCTCAGAACCGAACAGGAATTCAAGGAGAATCAGCTTCTGTTCCTTTCTGAGTCCTCAAGCTGGAGTTAACCTGTCTGTCTCCCTGTCTCCCTCTCCCTTTCACACACAGTCTTTTTAAAAGTGTTTTTTAAAGACATCTTTATGAGACAAGCGTACAATTTTCCATTAATTATTGGTTTTGGTGGTTTGCAGCCCAGCCGAGGAGCAGCAGACCTGCAGAGTCTTTCTGCTGCTCTATGCTGTAGGGGTGGGGGGAGTGGGCAGTCATTTATAAATAATTACACAATGTTTAGAGTCTTCAGGCATGTATAATATATCAAAGCGATTATAAGGTGAATTGTTCCATTGTGGCCGTCCGCCCTGCGCTTCTCACTCGTCTTCTGGTTTGTCCTTCATCCAAATTCAGCTTCTCAGACCTTTTGTGCTGCTTTCTTTCTGCCTCAGCCACTCTATTGGCACCTTTCTTATTCAAATGGGCCTCAGCAGGAACAAAACTAAAGCCAGGCTGCACACAAATCATCGCTGCTCCGGCTGCAGGGCCGGCACAAGCCTCTGTAAGGCCTGGACGACCCGGCTGCAAATCCTGCCCAGCTCTGAGGGGATCAGCCGCATTTAAAACCTCCTCTGGAAAAATTTAATGTTTTTAAATCAGTTTGCAAACGTCCTCCAGCCAGAGTTCAAATTAGGAGGAGCTAAGGGGAGCATGGCTCACCTGAAAGGGTGACAGTCTCCCCTGGAAGCATTCAACTTAAACACAGGGTTGAAAAAGATCCTGGATCTGTCTATATTACATAATTTATATGGACTTTGGGGATTCTTTTGAGCGGAGAGGATGGGTTAGGGTTAGAGTTAGGCTGAAGTGCTCCAGCTGCACCCTGCACAAGACCACAACATTCTCAAAGTGGCGCCTATAAAAATATATGATTGACACACAATCGTTCATATCCTCAGGTGCTTTCTGCCATTTACACATGTCTGATGCAGCGGAGCGTAGCTCATCACCCGTGCTCTGATGATTTCTCCTCAATGGCACGGCCGCTCAGTGCGTGCTCCACTTTTATGGTCGGTCCCCTTTGATCTGCTTAATTCAAAAGTAACTCAGGGGGTGAAAATATAGAAAGTTGAATTTAGAGGAGAAGCAGGAAGATCAGAGAGACAGGACAGGAAAATAGTCAAATAAAAAGAAGAAAACAAAACAAAAGGTTTGAAAATGAAAATATAGGTAGATTTAACCCACTACATCTTACTAACTATAAAGCAATACTTTATAAGCATATAATGTTTATATATTTAATGCAATTTAAATCACCTTCAAAACTCTGTCCCACACCCAGGACCGTTCCAAGACATCTTGGAGGCCAGGGCAGGAAAGCACCCACCCCCAAAAGCTTCTGTGTAATTGGTACCCTGCCTCCAGCGCTTCACGTGACATCTGGAAGCTTCTGGATGATGAAGAAAAATTAGCTGAGAAAGCATAGAGTAACCATTTGAAGTGTTCTTGCTGTCCAGAGAGAAATAAAACACAACAGAAGACGGAGAAGAGGAAAGAATATCGGGAGTTCCTGATCATGATTTTTCAAAATTTTAATTTTTTTACTGTATGGGGTCGGAACGAGCCCCCGCTCCGTGAGAACAAACATCCCAGCTCTAATGCCTATCTTCATCTGCATACGTCACACGACAGGTGATCAGGAAGCAGAAAATCCATGTGTTAGGAGATCATTTTGGGCTGCTGCTGTAAAAAAAAATGAGGCGCAAACCGGAAAAGCTTCTGCCGATCACAATTCGACAACGGATTATGAAAGAACGGATAACGCTCAAAGCGTACGGATTCTTCCTGATGTAAGAGGTGAGTCTACTCTTTGTTTTGTTAGTTTTGGCATTAACATCATCTTAGAGCGCAACGTTCTGTGACTCTTAAAAAAACAGTGAAAACGCTGAAAAACGCTGGCAGCGAAGGGCTTTTCTGATTAGGAAACGGCTGGCAGTGAGTGAGTTAATGTTGTAACGACCAAATCAGAGAAAAACAAACTTGCTGGATTCATTTACCTAAAGACTCTGCTGGATCTCCATACATTTAAAACCTTGGATGCTGAAATGATAAAACAAATTGATCATGCCTTAAAACAAAAATCCATCTTTTTTCCCGATAAAGGCACTATGTACATAGCCTAATTTATACTTCTTCAGGACGGAGACACGCAACGCCATTATGCGTTGGCGCAAGAGCTCTCCGACGGGATCGCAGAGCGAGACAAAGACATGCCCATCGAAAGAGACTGAGACCGCAAGTTTGTGATTAGTCAGGACAATCCCCAGCTGACAGAGAAGTCTGAAAGCAAAACGTCTCTGTTAACGCATGTGCCTCTGTCCCTCACGGAGCTGACAGAGAAGTATACATTAGGCTTTAGTTACTTTCATCCTGAGAGAACTTCAGGTGGAGTTCTGATAAGTTTTCAGACTGTCTTGAATGAAGCCAAAAGTAGGAGGGAATTAACTCAGACCTTCTGGTTTGGGAACGTCTTGATATCCTATTCACAGGAAAACAACAGAACACACTAGAAGACCCATACATTAATACAGAACACAGGAGCTCACATGTGAACATTAAATCAGATTCAACCAATCTCAGAGGTTGGTGGAGCTTTTTATGGAGAACATGGTCTGGTCCTGGTTCGTCAGATGAATTTCAAGTTTGTTTCTGATTCTCAGGATTTATTTCAGCTGACGAATTCTTACACACACACACACACACACACACACACACACACACACACACACTCGCGCATGCGCACATACAGATACACGATTCTGTCAAAATCATTTATCATCAATAATGAAATCGGCAGCCAAAACATTCAACTGTTCTTATTTAATGTTTCTAATGTAATGAGAAATCTTTTCATGACACAAACAAAAGTTAAAACCACAAATTAAACAACTTTCTAAGTTTGCATCCTTTCAAAGATTAAATTAAAAGATGTTAATTTAATTCCAGGAATTTTATTCAGAAGAAGCCAAAAGATCTGTTTCAGGCAAATTCTAAAATTAATGATAGAAACATCTCAGCTCTTTCTGTGTCCATCAGTTTCACACACACACACATGCATGCACACATGCACTCACACATGTATGCACACACACACACATGCATGCACGCACACACACATGCACTCACACTTCAGCAGTGGGAGGAGTAGCTTAAATGCTGACAGCCTGCAGCAGAAACACATGAAGAAGAATAAGAAGGAGGAGATCGAGGATGAGGAGGAGGTCCAGGTTTTACAGCTTCATCACTTCAAAGTGAGTGAACAGCTGCTGCATTTAAATGAAAGCACTAAGGAGGAGACCTGCAGAACCAGTCTGAAGTGGACTCAGTGATGAAGATGATGATGGATGAAGGTCCATCCAAAATAATACATCCGATTTGTTTGTGAGGACATCTTTTGATTTTTTTTCTTAAAAATATCAAATACCTCAAAACTCAGCAGCAGGCCCTTGCGTCTAAAAAATGATCTAAATGAGAATTATATGTGTCCTTAAATATCTCTGGGGCAACAAACAACAACAACAACAACCTGTCTCAACAGTTTAATACCCTAAACATCTTTGTTAATCAAGACCAAGACACCCATTAGTGCTCTAACGTCTCTCTTTGCTCACAGAAAAGATTTTGTCCCAGTGTTCAGAGACATTGCTCCATGTAGAAACGCCCACTGGAGGTCAGCCACCTGCTTCTCAGATAGAGGATCCTCCTTTAGGGGTTCAGTCTGAAGCAAAAACCTCAGCCCACTAAGACTATCTGACTTTTGTCAAAGAGAACTGATTAAGAACCTGAAAGAGCCAAACACAAGTGAGTCAGAGGCACTCTCCTCTACCAACGGTCAACATCAGGACTGGCAACCAGAGAAGGACAAATGGACTCACAGCGATTATCCCACTGGTCGGATAAAACTAGAAAAAGTTAAAGTCCCATTAGTTGTCATACACACTGATGTGTGTGCAAAATTTGTTCGCTGCATTTGACCCATCCCCTGGGGGAGTGGTGAGCTGCAGACACAGCCATGCTCAGGAACCATTTGGTGGTTTAACCCCCCAATCCTACCCCTTAATGCTGAGTGTCAAGCAGGGAGGGATTGGGTCCCATTTTGTCAGTCTTTTTGTAT